TTTTATTCAAAATTTAATATTATTCATCTCATACCTTAATTTATATCCTGAGAATTGATTCTTCAAACATTCAAATCGGATGTCCTTTTATAGAATTTCAAACTCTCATCTTACCACATGAATCCGATGGTTTAATTAATATCGTACACACAAATAATTCAATATCATATAAAACACTTACGAATATAATTTACATAACCACGTTGAATAATCTCAATACTAATCATGTTTGGTAGTTCTGAATCTCAAGTATCCAATCATGTTTGGTAATTTTGAATCTCAAGTATCCAACCATGTTTGGTCTCAAGCAGCTAACCATGTTTGGTAATTTTGAATCTCAAGTATCCAACCATGTTTGGTAATTTTGAATCTCAAGCAGCTAACCATGTTTGGTAATTTTGAATCTCAAGCAGCTAACCATGTTTGGTAATTTTAAATCTCAAGTATCCAACCATGTTTGGTAATTTTGAATCTCAAGCGTCTAACCACATTCGACATCCCTGAATTAAAACTTCTAACCATAATTTTTGAATCGAACTAATATCACGTGTGACCGAAATGCCCACATATGATTATTAATCACAGATGATATTATCGAATATAAATTTATTTAAAAAATGACACTCGAAAGATTGTTTATTCACGTGATCTCAAAAATCTTCATTGTCAGGATAAAGATCTTCACGCAATCTATAATACATCTTTCTATATCTCAAACATTTAATAAATTCATCAATTGATTTGATCATTTTATCCCGTTCACCCATCAATAAGTGAATATCGATCCCCACTCCATCGTGAATCAGATCATCCATTCTTTCAATCAAATAATTAAACTTTTTATGATCTTGATTCAATGATTTGTGATATTCAATTAAATTATTCACCCCATAATTACATATCTCATCCAACTTTTCATTCACCAATTTTAATAATTCATCCTTTTGTTTATCATCACGAGCAGATATAACATCAAATTTTTCAAAATAATGAATCCCATTTTCACTCGTGAAGATTTCCTCCAAGACTACAAACTCAACATTCCATGTGATACCCAATCTGCGAATTGACATTGCGATCTCACAAATATCAATTTCATCAAATATTCTTTTCTGAAAATAAATACTCAATGATTTCATTATTTCCATTTTAACAAATAATATAAAATTCGAAATATCTTATAGAAATATCACTTTATTTATAAGAAATTTTTAATCAATCTTGTTAAAATTAATCAATACGAAAATTATAATAAGTATAATAATCACATATCCAACACTCATATGTATGTCTAATTTTAACATATTCACATTCAATCTCAAATCCTTCTTTCTATTATATAAGTCATACATCTGATAATGAGAAATAATACATCTCGATATATCATCACTATCAGTTAAAAGAATCAAATTATGATTCTCGTGATCGTAACAGGGTTTTGTAAAACCATTGGACGATATCAATAAACCCAATTTTTTATCACTCCCATTTGTTCCAACTGTTATTGCAAATTCTTTCACATGATTCATACCAACCTTCGATGCAAAATTTTTACATTGAATAAAAACAATCATATCTCGATAAAACAGAATCAAGTCGACCCCTCCATCACCTTGAATGCTTCTTGTCAAATTAACATTAAATTTCGAATTTCTATTCAAGGTTGAATATATCTTATTCTCAAATTCCTTTCCTAAGAATAAATAATTGCGAGTGTCAACATCTCACCATTATCAGAGACAATTTTAACTCTCCATCCCGATAGTCACGCGGGGGGTGGAAGGGACCCGACGGGTGTACCTTATCAAAATAGCATCATTGATGCACACTCACCTTTTTCATATGTTGACATTGACATTCTCACAAATTTACCTAAAGAATACCTCATCTTGGTGCTTAAAGCACTAGATGAGGTCAAAATTTATTAACATAATATTTATTAATATTAAATCTAATTTATGATTTTTGATACAGCTTTCGATGTCTCAATTTCCTAACTCTATTTTTATAATTAATAATAAGACTTTGATCGATTCCCATTCGTTTCAATCTACGAGTACATTTCTCTACTCTTATCCTTCTCTTCTCCTCTCTTATATTTAATTTTTTAAATATATCCGTTCCTAGTGCCAAATGAACGTAGAAATCAACACTATCCTCAAACTTTAAGTAATTCTGAGACGTGATTCTCTGATATTTCGACCCATCAACATTAAACATTCGTGTATCACAAATATAAAATTTGTTATACATCAAATCATCAAATAAATATTCGATCTCTCGTAAATCGAGTTCGATACCAAATTGATCTTTCGTTAATCTCACCACCGCTTCTTCATCATTCTCATAGACATATGGATACCCATAAACCGTATCCCACATTGTTTTACACAATGAATCAGGACAGTATTGATGAAAATTATAATGATAATATTCATCATAACTTCTGAGAATCACATCTCTACCCGAAACGAAAAAGAGATACAAAGCATATGATTTTCGGTCTGACATTTTCAAGTTACGAAAGGAACACCTCACCCTGGTGCGCATGGCACTGGGTGAGGTTTGCTTTATTTATATCAATTAAAATTTCAAAATATCATGTGACATTTCAATCATTATTAACATTGGAATTTTCAGATAACCACTTTTGGAGCCTAAAATCCTCATACATCATTCCCTTCGCCGGTCCTTGACAAACTGTCACCAACCACGTACAAATATCCAGAGTTTTATCCAGAATGTTCCTTTCAATAACCGAATAAATCTCACGTCTAATCTTGTTATACAATTGAAGCACACTCATTTTTTCTTCCCAATCATCACTCTCGGTCTTGATGATATCGAATGCAATTCCATTAACCAAATTAGAAAGTTGATAAGATTTTTCGCAATTTAAAAAATTCTTCATATTATCATCACCCAATGACAATATTCTATTATTTGTTTCCTTATCAAGCATATCCAAATTCTTCTGTTTTTGGGATAGTTGAAAGTTGAGTTGCTTTCGTTTAGATCTTGATGATTCAGATTCCTTTTCACCTTGAAAGTCAGGTTGCTTTCGCTTAGATCCAGAGGAGTTGGGTTTAAGTTCCACAGACTGCTCTTCATTAACCTTCAATCTCTTGGATTCCAATTCAGAATCAAAGTTAGAACTGGATACGTCTTTTCTTTTGTCAGATCCCATAGTTACATCATTCAAACCTCATCCTGGTGCACGAAGCACTGGATGAGGTATTATTTATTAAAATAAATATAAATATAAAATATACAATTAATATTATTCAGAATGATCAATACAATCGAATTTACGATGAACTCCACCTTGACAATCATGTTTAACATGTTTTAAATTATCAGAATACCAACCACATGTTCCATATACAACCTTTCCATACTTATCATACCCCATCACATATTTCAATCCACACGTAAACTCACACACACATAATTCCTCTGAGCAACTATTTTCACAAAATATACACAAACCTTGAGCATTATTTATCAAAAAAAACTGTCTCAACTCTTCTCCCGAGTTAAAATAATCAATCACTGGTACGAAATCACAAATGCACTCGTTTATATGCACCCCATTCTTGTGGAATTTCACAATTTGTACACACTTTGAGCAAAATGTATGAACGTGTTCTTCCTCAACCCAATTATCACATACATCACACCAATCATCCATTTCATAAAGATCGTCATAAGTTTTCAATTCGAATGGAGATTCTTCTTTCATCGGAAGTCTCCTCGCATCTGATTGGGCATCATAAGTTTTTAATTCAAATGGAGATTCCTCTATCATCGGAAGTCTTTCCACATCGGATTGAATATATTCTTCGTGATCAGCATGATGATAATCCCAGCCTTCAAGGTGATTAGATTCTTGATTATATTCTTTCCAAACAGAGTCATACTCATTCAAAAAAATATCAACATCTTTCAATTTACGTGAAGATGATATGAGAAGAGAATTCACCATCTTCATGATCAGATGCATATCTTCTGGAGTTCGAAGTGAGTAAATAGATTGACTGTTTTCAATCACAGCTTTTACGTATTCTTCACTTATTTCAGTTGTCATATCGAGTTTGAGTTGAAATTCAAAACCCTCTCAAATTTCATGTCCTTTTATATAAATTTCATCATTTAATCATGACATAAAATTCACTTGAACTTTATTGAAATACTAGTCACTTGGTAACTTAAATCTCGAGAACACTAGACATGTTTGATAATTTTAAATCTTGAGAGCATTAACCATGTTTGGTAATTTTAAATCTTGAAATCACTAGTCATGTTTGGTAATTTTAAATCTTGAAAGCATTAACCATGTTTGGTAATTTTAAATCTTGAAATCACTAGTCATGTTTGGTAATTTTAAATCTCAAAACTAGTCCTATTTAATAATCCTAAATTGGAAATATCAATAATCTCAAATACCAATCACATTTCATAATTTTGTAGTAAAATATATATTCGAGATTAAAAAATTTTAAATAACATCAATATTTAACCCAAAAATAAACAACATAATCTGGTTTATACAATTGTAAATATCTATTATAAATCATTTTTGAATTTTTACGATTCATATTCACCAATCCTCCTTGAATCAATTTGGTATAACATCTTCTTCGATAGAGACGACATCCAAAATGTTTATCCACACAATCATACTTAAAGAAATCATTATACGGAATCCTCTCGTACTTGTACTTATTACCATCAGGTACACGATGTTGAACAATACTCTTCTCGAAATCAATTCTATCTGCTGAAACCCGATTCTTCTTCACGATATGCTCATCACAAAGATGATTATTCATCCTTCTCCTCACACGGTCAAATTGGTGATAGGATATTCTGCTCATCTTAATAAAGTCACACCGTAATCAATTTTTTCTAATACAAAATTGGCAAGTTAAATAGAATTTTTGATTTCTTGTGATTTGAACCATCAAGATCGAGACATCTTTTATAGCAAATATCTCATTCATGATCTTACAACCAATCCAATGTATTCTGATTGGTTCTATAAAATTACATTTAAAAAACTCTAATCGGTTCACAATTCCCATGACCCATCAAGAACTTTAATAAATTCCCACGATCTATTAAAAGTTTCTGATTGGTTCACTATACACAAAATGTTATTTAATAAATCAATTCCGATTGGTTCATAACATATATTAAATGAAATATCAAATACATATATATATGAGACCTACTTAAGTATATTGATACATACAACATGTTTAGGAAAATCACATTCGCAAAGAAAAACGAAAAATTTATTCCTTATGACAAATATCACAGAAAATTAACTGATCTTAGAAACTTAAGAACAACTCATCATAGATTACTAAAATCACATATAAAACTGAAAAGAAAAATTGAAAAATATGAACACATTCTCACCTCCATCACCAATATCTTTAAGGATGAACCATCAATCGATGACATTAATGATGAATTAACCTCTCAACATAATTCAATCGAAAATGTTGAAAACACACACACCTCTAATGAATCAATTTATATTGAAGATGAATCAACTCATATTGAAGATAAATCAATTCAATATATTGAAACTAATGAAGAAAATAATATTAATGAATCCACTCAACATAATACCAATGATAGGATTTATATCACAGATGATGAATCTATTCAACCTAATATCAGTGAAATGATATATAACATAGATGAATCTAAAGACAAAGACGAGATAAAGTATATCAACAATCCAATTCAACTTGTAACTAATGATGAAAATTATATTGATGAATCTATCAATAGATCGATTCATATTACAGACGAACCAATACATTCTGATTTCACAGAGACTAATACAAACGAATCAATTCAAAGTAATCTCAACTTTAATGAATCAATTCAATTAGACTTTACTGAATCATATAAAATAAATAACTATAGTAATCAACAAAATATCATAGAGCTATTCGATATCCACGGAAATATATATTATATTAATACTCAATCGCTGAAATGTTGAAATGTAATATCCTGAATATCAAATAAAAAAGAACAGAATAAATATTCATCTATAAATAAATCATATTCAATCAAATTCAAAAAGTTTTTCTCAAACATGTTAATTTCTTATAATTTCAATCCCGTAACATTCACCCAATTAAAATTGTGACATCCACAATCATTTAAGTATTTTTTACTTAATATAAGAGCAACAATAAACATCTTACGTATACAATAAATCGACGTGTTCAATCTTTTAACATTTTGTTCTACCTTTACAAGATAGAACAATGCCGTGCAAAGTTCAATACGTGTAATATATAATCCATTTAAAGTTTCTTCGATGTATGTACGAAAGGATGTGGAATATCTCAAAACCTTATTATTCCATACTCTCTTCATGATATGTTCAGTTAAAGCAACAAGCTGATCATTCGCAAACGGTGATATCTCCTTGCAAATCAGGTCTTGTACTGTTTTAATATCATCCATCATTTGATAAGAGTAGAGGTATTGTTGAAAATTGTATTCAAGTTTTTGAACAATTATTATTTTAAAATCCTGAGCACACTTGACAAGATCAAAATTTAAGTGTTTATTTATATAAAATTATAAATCCATTTAATTACAAAAACTCTTGATTATTTTTACTCATCCCTATTAAACTCCTCTAAAATCTCAGGATACACAATGAAATCTAAATGCAACTCGTCCCCATCTTCAACCATATATCTATTATCATCATTAAAATCTTCTCTCCAGATAATTTTATTATTCAATCGTAACAACTTTCTCTTTCTATTTAACTTTCGTACAATTTCCAACGCACAATCCCAAGTTATCTTCCCATCAAATTCAATATCAAATTCAAACTTTTGAAATTTTTCCCTTGAACCCTTATGAAAAATTCTCTGAATTTTGCAATACGTACATTGCACATCACAAACACGTACACTATCATCTCTAATTTTGCGATACTCTATAATAAAATTAAATCTCCTCTCGATCGCCTTGTAAAATTTTTCATAATATGGGATATCACCATAATCATACAATCCCCGTAATCCTGTATTCGATGTAAATACTTGATACATTCCAACATACTCACATGATGATCCCTTAATCTGAATTCTCATTGAAACTCGATCGAGAATATTAAGCAAATTCATCTGGGATGCTGACCCTCGTTCCATCTTATTAATAACAATAATATGATCATTATTATAGTTTTCCCATCACTTCCAATCATCATCCGTCAATTTTTTATATGCATCTGGAAATACAATACTAGTCCAGAAGATCTTCCCCATTCCAGGCGCTCCAAATATGTAAATATTACATGGATCCCAACATCGTTTTTCAAATCTGTTGTTCACATTACTCAATGATTTGGGTTCCTCTTCATCTCGAGAGTCAGGTTGCCTTTGCTTAGATCCAGAAGAATTAGGTTTGAGTTCCATGGACTTTTCTTCATCAATCTTCAATCTCTTGGATTCAGAATCAGAGCTGGATACGTCTTTTCTTTTGTCAACTCCCATAATTACATCATTCAAACCTCACCCTGGTGCATGAGGCACCGGATGAGGTGAAAATATAAATATATCATTTAAGTTTTTGAATTATCATTTAAAATCCTGAGCACATTTGATAAGATCAAATTTATTAAAATATAAATCTGTTTATTTACAAAAAACTCTGAACCTTTTTAATTAAATTACTTTTATATGTCACAAATATGGGTCTGGCCACATTATCAATCAAGTCTTGAGTATTTTCACTCAATTCATTCTCTGTACATAATATTAGAATAATTTCACAAAAATTAAACGTATTTGTAATCATCTTATTCACCACACTCGTATTCACTGATCCTTTTTGATTATAAACACATTTTACATAAAAATTATGTTTTTTACATCTTACAAAGAATTCATAAGTCTCTCTTTCAAATTCCATTTATCGAATAATTCATAAATACTTTTATAATATCGATCCTTCTAAAAAATAAAT